ACCCTTGCAGCGCGTCTCGTCTACCGCCCTACGGCCGACTTACCGACGTATTTCCTCCTTCGCTTGACAAGTCGAGCAGCGTTCTGCTTGAGACGCTCCTCGAAGATGAGCAGATCGCGAAACACGGCGTTGTCCGGTGGAGGATGGAAAGGATCGGGCGGAGGGTGTCTCGACAAGTAGCTTGAGCCAGGCTGCCCTGGACGAGCCCGAGCGACTGGCGAGGTTCGTGGCGCCATCATCGGCAAATGTGAGGCTAGGGTAGCTTATTCCTGGACCAGAAATTTGCTGGCTGAAGTATCTCGTTGAAGACGTTGCGGCACGGAACATGAAGTGGCTTTAGAGTGGATGAGATTGTATGCGAGAAATCCGTCCTTGGCAACAGCGCCCTCCCGTCTACTCCCTAGATGCTGCATGCACTAGCAGCAAAGAGCGTTGGGCGAGGTGCCAGCATTGGAATAGGGAAGTACACAGTGATGGTCACCGGCCGGTGGGCTCGGCAATCCTTGACGCTTTGAACGGACCCTGGGACAGATAGAAGGAGGTGCAGGTCGAGGCTGATCTGAGCAACGAAGGAAATTGAGCAATCATTTGATCTATCCACGAATTCAGCAATCACGAATCACGAATAGCGATGTGAATTGAATGCGGGTCGCCGTCTGGCTTAGCTTCGTATGGACAGAGGCTTACACAATCATAATGATCTTGAATAATGAACTTGAATCTGAATAGATGGGCAAGCTGCATCGTCCAACACATCACGTGCACTTAGCGCATCACAAGTGGAGTAGGCGTCTATCGGCCGAAAGACGCATGAGGATGTCAGCAAACGACTCTCTGCAAAGATGCGAAGGCCGCCGCTTCTCACAGCTGAAATATCACGAATCTCGATGGATGACGTGAACTTGACAGTGACTCAACGAACCACGAATGTGAATCGTATGGCACGAACACTCTTCCTTACCCCTGGCATCGATCACTCCACCACTTCCAACGCCCTCATCGAGCCCTTTGAGCGCTCGTACTTTTGACGCGATAAGCACCGCGCCCGCTGTGTCCAATGATTCTTTAGTCTTCCGGTATCGGTAAGTGGCGTTTTGAAAGTAGAGAAGATGCGCAGTGCGCTGACTTTGTCAGGCGTGTGCCGATTGGATACTTTCTCCTCGACCCAGGTGCAAGCCAGCTCGACTCTCGTAGTTGCAATCTCCAATCACCTCCGCCGCGCAAGTCTGTTGCGGGAGCATGGGACGAGGTGGTCTGCCCCGGTTACTGCTCCACTCGCGACGTGCAATTCAGGCTAGGCGCAGAGTGAATGCTAGACAGCTTCATTCAGCGGTAGCACCTCATCAGAAAAATGGGGTTGACAGCACCGCCTTTCCTTTATGCTCACGGGACGCCCGCAACAGCTGTCTGTCATGCGGGCCAAGCACGGAGGCGACGACAAGTGCAGTCAAGTTGCCTTTGCCCTGCACGCGCAAAGCTGCCATTTTCTTGCCGCCCTTCTTATGCCCAGCGCTGCAAGAGCGGTGGCAAAATCGGCCTCAAGAGACGTTCAGAGGAGCAGTAGTTGCACGAGCCATGCATTCAGCTGTTCCGTTGCCACTTCGCCGCGATGCCAGTCCACTGGAGGGCACAAAAACGGGGATCCCCCGTCGCGAGCGCAAAGGAGCTGCTTCGGTTGCAGCCCAGAACAAAGAAGCGGAGCGGCATGTATCCGATCCGGTCATCGATCTGGAACCAGCGTCATCGCATTGGCGGCGATCCGAGTCAGAAAAGTTCGAAGATGTCATGAAGCACAAACACTTTGCCCAATTACGCGGACAATCAACGAAAGGATGGCAAGCGCCTCAAGCGCGAGAAACCAGGATTGAAGAAACTTCGACGCGGCGCCATTCACAGCTCGAACCCTTGCAGGCATGTACGGAGGACGGCGCAGCCAATCCGAGCAGGCTCCACGGCTTCCCCCCGCGTGTCGATCCAGAGGCACTGGAGGCAGCTACCGCACTTCGTGCATTCCTGGCCTCCCACTCGATCCGGGGCGCCAGAAAGCGATCCGCAGGGCGGAAGCGAATGTCAATATGGACTGCGGAGGGCTGGGAGGCGGCCTCGTCTGAGCTTTGGAGGGTATGGGCTAGGGCAAATGAGCTTCAAGCACTTGGTGCCAATGACCACGCGCAGACGGCGGAAAGACTCTTCGTTTTCGGGAGGTTTGAGGCTAGTATGCGACGGGAGTGGCAAGCAGCTAGATTCGTCAGAAGTCTGGCTGGGTCACGGATGGAAGCAGTCGTGATGCATCTGGACGTCACCATACAAAGCGCTCCAACCTCTCCACGACAAGAGCTGAGCGTTTGGGTTGAATCATTGCGCATCCGAGCACAATCTTTGTTAGCTATCACCAAGCAGAGTCAACAGAGCTTGGAATCTGCAGTCGACCGCCTACTCCTGAACCATCAAAGCCTACTGTTGGCCGGGGCGTCTACAAGGATCTCGAGCCATCAGCCTGCTACCTCCATGATACTTCGTCATCTTGGTCGGGCTGTGGGCGGTCTTCTCAATGCCTGGCTGTTCTCCGGGCAACGACCAGCGAAAGGGACCACAGCCCGCACCACAAGCTCGAATCAGGACGACGCGGAGAAAGAGTCGGCCTCATCAGATTCTGCTAGCGAGGCTTTCGAGTTGCACAAGCCTCGAAGTCGGCAAGACCGCTATGCGATCAAGGGGCTTGTGTGGTTATGGCGCCACCCAGCGAGCTTCATTTTTTTCATCGGTACCACCTACAAATGGGCTCTAGCCGCTCTGTACAGTCTCCTGGCCAAATTGCACGAACCTGTGCTGTCTGCAAACACCCTTTGGGCAGAGCAATCCGAAGCCTGGCGCGCAGCACATGGCAGCGAAGCAGTTTCCATTTTGATCTTTGCGCTAAGTAGCCGTGAAGAGCTACTCCACGCCTACACGCTCTACGTCACGATGACAGGCGCCAAGCCATCTCATCTCGACACATCACCGCGACTGGTTCTGTCAGAACGACTGCGTCGTAAGCTTATAAGGCTCACTAGCCGAGCTCAGATGTACGACATTGCAGAATGGCTCTGCGACGATCTTCAGAGGAAGGCGCCCGTTGACACGGACGGGTCGCGAAGACTCGAGGAGGGCACGTTGCGTACGCTCGTCATGCACTACGCTCGACTGGGCGCATCGGATCTGGTCCAATCTACGCATCAGACCCTGATGCGACAGGCCCCACAAGCGGAGGATGCCTTCGGTCTGCTGCCAGCGGCTGAAGCGCTTTGTGCCTCAAGGAGGGGTGACTTGCCCGGTGTCATGCGGGCTTATGGCCTACATTTAGAAGACGGCCAGCCCTTTGGTTCAGTCTTACCGGACGACGCCAAGCTTTCTCTCCCTCGTGCAGCACCACTGCGACTTATGGAAGCCTTGACTTACGGTGACCATGTTCCCGAGGCCGAGGCGCTGTACGATCGCGTGCTTGAAGTGTACGGCCGCGTGACGCCCCAAATATTCGACCTCCTGATGGACAGCTACACAAGACAAGGGGACCTTGGATCAGCCCTTTCGCTATATGACGAGCTGAAGGCAAGCTCAATGCCCTTGAGTATCCGGACCTACACATCCCTTGTCACTGGTTTTGCGCGCCGCAAAGACCCTGAGAGCGCTTATCGAGCAGTGCAAGCGGCAATCGCCGACGGTCTGAAGCCAGATCAGATCATGTGGAACGCTTTACTCAATGCTTACGTAGAGTGTGGCCAATGGGAAGCCATGACAGCCTTGGCAGAATGGATGAGGAACCATCCTTCTTTAGCTATGCGGCCTTCGGCCGACACGCACAACATCCTACTTAAAGGCCAAATGATGAGTGGAAGTAGCCCCGGGAGAGTGAGAGAACTGTTCGACGATATCCGCAAAAGCCACCGCCCAAACGAACACACTTGGGCATATCTTCTGCAAACGTATTGTGACCGCGGACTACTGAAAGAAGCCTTTCAAATCTTTCAACAGCTTGACGACGCTTTGCGAAAGCCATACGTCTCAGCGCACAAGGGCGGTGGTGCGACGGGCTGGCATTTCACAATCCTCATGCACGCTTACATCCGGCACAAGCGTTTCAATGAAGGTCGCCAAGTATTCGAGGAAATGCAGAGGCGTGGCATACAACCCAACAACGTCACTTGGGGTGTCGTCATCTCGGGATACGCGCGGATGCGTCATGGCGAGGGTCTGTCTATTGCGAAAGAGATAGCGGATCGCGCTGCTATCGAGTCGAGTCAGCCTCCACACCTCCACGATACGACGTGGAGCACACCTGCACTTCGCCAACGTATTCATTCACAAGCGTTGTACCTCCCAATTTTGTTAGCAGCTACACGGAGCGGCAATCCGAAAGAGGCACAAGACGCAGTACAAAGCATTGCTGCTTTGGGCATTCGAGTCTCTTCTCACACATGGATCACCCTGTTGGATGTTCATCGCAAGTCCCGCGATCTCGACGCTGTGGCACGAGTATGGGACTCCATCTTCAGGGACGCGATCAAGCAACGTGACGGAAAATACACACTCGAGGACGGTGTTGCTGCGCAAGCTGAGCACGAAGCAACGGGAGTTCATCCGCCACTCAAGCTTCCCGACGTTAGATCGTATACGCGCAATTTGCTCTGCGTGCCCCTCTCTATGGCGATCGATGCGTGTTCTGCGGCGGGACGACACGACGACGTCGGCCGACTGTGGGCGCAGGTGAGAGACAACGGATTTGCGTTTGATCCACAAAATTGGAACGACCTAGTCGTAGCCTTGCTCAGAGCAGGCCGACTCGAGGACGCGCTACGCATTGTCAACGACCTCTTGCTCGAGGCCGATCACCAGCCACCACCTGGCGTCTTGAAAGGTGGACACGAAGCTTCTGGTACACCGGACGATGACGAGAGCTCTCGGCTCGGTGACGAGAGTTCTATTGGTCATGCCGATGCCGAAGTGTCTGCCACCGAAGGCGAAGCATCAGCAGCGCAAGTTCACGACAGCAGCAATCCATCAAGCGGCGTCAAGGAGCCCATCATCATCAATGGCGAGATTGTGTTCTCAGATGCAGACTTAATCAAGCAAAGAGAGCCCACGTACCCTATCTACCCCCGTCAGCGCCGCGTCATGTCCTTCCAGGTTCGGGAGCCGGTGAGACAGGTCAGACGACCGCCCCGACCCATTTCAAGGGCTTCCTTTACACCCGTAGAGGAGAAAGCGAAGAGTCGACAAGTTCGACCATTCTACCCGACTTTGCTGCAGCACGATTTCGGCGCAGAGAGTGCGCCTGATCTTGCAGCAGCGACTCGACCTTTCTTCCCAGTTGAGTCTGAGCTCGATCCCTTATCGAACGAACTGGTCCATGAGCTCGCATGGACTCTCGATCGGAGCCGAGACGAGGCTTCGGGTGCAGCATTGAGGGCCGCTTCGATATATCCATTGGACGACGAGGTAGGGCGTTGGCAGACTCAAGCCGGACACCAAGCAGATGTCTCAGCATCTGTCTATGCTGCTGATGACACAGAGGGTGACGTCCCGACTGAGAGCGGCGCAGACATTAACGAGCAAATGTCTTTTGCAATCAAAGATGCTGACTTTGAGGAGCCCAATTCGGCTTTGGTCGAGGCGTTAGTCCGACGCGCCGATGCCGGAGACTTCACAAGTAGACGCTTCACCGCTGCACCTCCATCACCTTCAACAAGGGCGCACAAAGGGTCGCGTTCACCCAAAGTATCCAAGGAAACCAAGAGATCACGATCATTCAAAGCATCCAGAGGCTTGGTGGACCGAAAGAGTGAATCTCAAATAACAGAGGACATTGAGGCAGGCCCAGACAAACATAGACAGGATCATCCCGAACAAGGGTCGCGTTCACCCAAAGTATCCAAGCAAACCAAGAGATCACGATCATTCAAAACATCCAGAGGCTTGGTGGACCGGAAGAGTGAATCTCAAATAACAGAGGACATTGAGGAAGGCCCAGACAAACATAGAAAGGATTCTCATCCCGAACAAGGGTCGCGTTCACCCAAAGTACTTAAGGAATCCAAGAGATCACAATCATTCAAAGCATCCCGAGGCTTGGTGGACCGGAAGAGTGAATCTCAAATAACAGAGGACATGGAGGAAGGCCCAGACAACCATAGACAGGGTTCTCATCCCAAACAAGATGTTGAGACGGGTGATTTCGAGGAAGAGGACGCACCCGAAGATATTCTTTCCGACCCACCTCCCTACATGGAGTACCTAGACCGAGTTGCACATGGCCACGTCAATGACTTCCAAGCTAACTCGGCGCAGAAAAGCCTACTTTCCGGTCCGCGCGCTCGAAGCTTCTGGTTCGCCAACTCTGAGACTCTGGTGTCCATCCTAGCCACGATGCGCAAGCTGCGTGATAAACGTTTCAACCCAAGGGAGCCATACGCAGTACCTGGAGCGGTCAGGGTCGATCGCGCCCTGCGCATGTATCCGCGAGCTGCCGGACGGCTCTACTCCTACTCTCGCAGCCTGGTTTATCGTGAAGACGAGAGGAAGCTGCGCGCTCAGAGAGGCTGGCTGGAAGACGAACGCGGTCCAAATGTGCCGAAGGAACTCAATACTTTGCTTGGCTCTCTGCCCGAACGTCCCGACCAGGACAGCAACGACTCGCTGAGTGACTTGGACAGGATCAGGCAGGATCCTTCATTCTGGACTTTCGCCAAGAAACCGAGTGGATCCCCTACTAGGCGAGACCTACCGAAGCCGAGTAGATTCTACCCTGCGCCAGACACACTAGGCAAAGATGAGGAAACTACGACGCAAGACAAAGGTTTGGCAGACGCCTCTTCGGATCATACGCGCTCTCACTCAACGCCTTCGGCACAGGGGCCAAGTGACAAATACGGCGCGCGAGATCGAAGGGCGACGCGCGGCACCTCTGGCTCTTCGAAGACGCCCCTTCCAGCCGCACGTCCTCCAGGGCCGCCCGTCCCGCCCCACTTGTTGCGCCGACAGTAATCACGAGGTTCCCGATGATGGTTGGCGAGGCGGACCTATGGCGCATGTTCCAGCCATTCACGCTGTTCGGAGGAGCGCTTTGCTGAATGCTCAAAGCTTTACTTGGAGTGTCCGAAGTCACTACAGCACCACCTCTTACCTACCCCGCTCTTACCCTCCGTACTCTCGTCGTCGCCATCACCAGAGGAAGCTAAGTCTCACGTAAGAGCAGCTCATCTCGTATCAACGACCATTGCAATGCATTCTGTTAAAAGTACCCCTCTGAGTATGGAGGCGAAGTGATTTGTAGTGGAGTGCTTGATGATGGATGGCCCAATGCATCTGCAGATGCGAATGCTCCAGCAGGGGTCGGGCAAGCACCAAATCGGTAGCCTTTTCGGCTCAGCTTGACCTGCTGCTGCTGTTCCATGCGAGCTTGGTGCTATACAGCTGGTGCGCCCGCCGCACTAGCCGTGACTGCTTGCTGCTGAATGGTTCTTCCGCTGCAAGCCTCTCACGGCTGCTTCTTTGGCTGCTGCTGCTGAAAGCCGGCTCGAGTCGCGGTGGGACGCCGGTTGCGTGCAGCTGCACAGACCACTCGTGACTTTGGGCATTCAAATTGTAAGTTGACCATCACGAACATGCCTCAAATGATGTTTGTACCGACGCTGCATGAGGTTTGCAGCAGATGTTTTTTGAAAGTGCCGACGTTCGCCTCTCGCTCGATTGGCCTGCACAAAACGTCGATTGCTGCTGCAAGATATTCCTTCATCTCCTCCATCACATACATCATCGCCCTAGATTAGCTGAACTCGTCAAAACACATCAATCCGCTCTGCACACACCGAGACCAAGATGTCTCTGAATTCAGTCACCACGCCAGCGCGTGGAGATCCATTGCGCGAAGACATTTTGATCCCTTCGGAAGGTGGAGAATGTCACGCTTGGTGGTATCCGCCCAAATCTGGCAAGAGGGGTCCAACGATTGTCATTGGTCACGGACTGGGCGGGATCAAGGAGATGGGGTTGAACAGGTATGCTGAGCTGTTTCAGCGAGCTGGGTATGGCGCCTTGGCTTTCGATTATGTCGGGTTCGGTCAGTCGACGGGAAAGTGAGTTAGTTCATCAAGGTGCCTCACAGAACTGCCCAATCCTAGGAGCCACATCATATTCCCAATGGGCTGACCCGTTCGATCATTTCAGACCCCGTCAAATTTTGGACTACTGGAAGCAGCAAGGGGACTGGGATCACGTGCTTGCATACGCAAAGACGATGCCTCTGATCGATGCGTACAAGATTGGCATCTTTGGCACCTCTTTCGGCGGAGCTCACGTTATAGACGTGGCGGCACGCGATCCAGACGTCGTCGTCGCAATCTCGCAATGCCCCTTTACCAGCGGATTCGCTTCCACTCTGACCACTGGTTTCGCTGTGCCTTTCTTGGGCGTGCTGGGTATTGCCGACACGCTATTTGGCTGGTACAGGCGAGTCAATGTCACTGTGGCTGGCAAGCCGGGCCAAGGTGAGCAGTGCAGTGCAGCTAAAGAAAGAGTCTGCATACATGCGCCGCGACCATAGTTGGCAACCTGAATGCTGACCCTCGAACATTCCCGCACCAACACCTCCTCCCTCATCTTTCGCGGCCACCTGCAGTTGCGCTGATGAACAGTCACGACGCTTACTCTGGTTACCGAAGCCTCTTGCCCGCAGGAGTGGAGGGCGAGAATTCAGTGGCAGCAAGCATTGCTCTTCAGATCCCACTGCTCTTCCCAGGCGCGAGTGCCAAAAAGGTCAAAATTCCCATCCACTTTTCAATCTGCGGAAAGGACTCGGTCGCTCCTGCCGCTCCAACGCTCAAGTACGCCAAGCAAGCTGCAAAGGGAGAGATCGAGTATTACGAGGATTTTGGTCATTTCAGCATCTATCAAGGAGAACAGTTCGACGTCGTCACTGCCAAGCAGCTGGACTTTCTGAGCCGAAATTTGCCACTGGAGGCATAAGCGGCCGAAGCCAATCAAAAGCCATCAAACACGCTCTCCATACCGCTGCTCGGCAGGACACTGAGACGCAAGACCACGATGAATGAAGCTGTCATTGCGCGAACCCTGTGCGAGTGCCGATGAAAGAGGGTGTGGACAAGTGTGAAGGGAGGGAATGTAAAGGCGTCGAAGGTGCCTCGAATGAAGGTAGTGCTAGGTATCAAAAGAAAGGCGTGACGAGAATGTCGCGTGCGGGTGCCAAATGGCCGCTGAAAGACGAGGGGTTACTCAAGGCGCACCACGCGCGGCAGAGCGCAGATTGCGATGAGATTTACGATGGGCCAAACGATTGCTGGGAGAGTCCACGACGGTGCGTCCTGCCTCTTCAGCAGCAGACATCTGCAAAGCCGTCGCTTCTTTGCGGGAGGTGAAAGCCTCGTCACGATCGCCAGCAGCAGCTGTAGCAAGTATGGTAGCTCGACCTGCCGATCTTCCTACCGTGACAAAGTTCTTTGACTTCTCGTTCGACTTGCTCGCTGTGTTGGAGAGGTTGTGGGAAGAGCGCGACTTGTGCTGGACGAGCCTTGGCAGCTGTGAGGTCGGTCGAGACAAGACAGTGGATGCTCCTTCTGTCGTCGTGAACGGGTCGTCGTCTGCTAGGCCGGGAGCACGCGAGCGCGCCGATTTGCCCGACGTTTGCTCGCGCTCTGTGCTGCGACGAAGCGAGGGGGAGATGACGCTGGAAGAAGTCGAGCTCACATCACGGCCAAGGCAGATCGCAGATGAGGCCACAGCGGCAAGACTGGGCAGCGGCGCGGCGTTCGGGCTTGCATCGATAGGAGTGGCCGGTTTGAAGGCAGCCACACGACGACGTCCCGATTTGAAGCTAGGCCTTGGGGTAGTCAGATTGTCCTCGCTCGCAGTTTCTGAGGCATCGTTGCTCGCTGCTGGGCTCTTGGGACGCCTCCTACCCCTTCGCGTCTTCGATCGTGACCTCGCTTGGCCCGAAGAGGTAAGTTTGGAGGACTCGCTGTCGCTATCGCGACTCCTTCGCATAGAGTTCGCTACGGCTCGTCTCTCGAGATATTGCTTTTTTGTCATGACTCTGACTGTGGCTTGTGGACTGTAATCGGTGGGCTGGAGCTCCGCCGCGCCAAGATCGATTGGCTGAGCACCTGAAGCGCCCGTAGGACTGGTCACGAGAAGGAGCGGGGGACCATCGGTGTCAGAGCCCACCGCAGAAGACCCATCGTCTTCCTCCTCCGAGAAGCTTTGCTGCGGCGCCTCGGAGACGGCGAGGGTGTCTTGACCGCTGGTAGTTGTCGTGTGCTGTTTGCGGGGACTGAGCGCGGCCGAGGGTATGATAGGCTCCAGCATGGCAGCTCCGTCCGAGAAGACAATGCGAAAGTCTGTAGCGATGACTCCCTGCTCGGCCTCCTCTTGCTCGGTGGTAGGAGCCAGTGGGCGTTCGGTCTGACGAAGGGTAGAGCTTGACTTGGATCCACTCTGCATCCGAGCAGCAGCTTGCCTGAGAGCTTCGACGCTACGCATGCGTCGCATACCGACACCAGCTGGCCACAGACAGCCATCGGAGCGCAGCACGACTGCATCATCTCGGCTTACAATGGGGTCTGCAGGTAGAGCAAACAGCTCAGCCAGGCTCTTGCGTGCACCCCCTTCGGCCTGCGGAATTGCATCATCTCTGGTCTCGTGCTCCTCAAGTCGCGGCTCTGATGTGGAAGCGCCGCGAGTTTTAGGCGCACGACTGCCTTGAAGGCTATTGGACCGCGAGCGAGCCTCTGCAAACGCCGAAAGACTGCTGACACTCTCGCGCCATTCTTCTTTGGCTCGCCTTTGTTGATGCAGCTTTCTGATTTCGTTACTCGTCTTGCCCTTCCCGTTCGCTCCGGTCTGAGCAGGATCCTCGACCTCATCTTCACCTTGGAGGCCAAAAGCGGACACGAGACTTTTGCGCTGCTTGCTCCTAGATGCACCAATTCCACCGAGTGCTCGAGCCGCTGCATCCGCACCGGCACCAGCTCTCAGTCGAGATGGCACAGAGCGAGAATTGCTAGGAGTGTAAGGTGCTCCGGCGACATTGCCTCTATAGCGCATCGAAGCACTCCAAAGCGAGCTCAGCTTGCTCGAGCCCGTCTTTGCTCTTCTTGGACTTGCAGGCAAAGCGTTTGCAGTGCGCCTTGGACTCGCGTGCACTGAGTTTTGGCGAGAAAGTGTTCGAGGTGTGGAGACCGAATGAGCGCGGGTCTTGCTGGGAGTCGAGGGTCGACTGGTCGACGACGGTGCGGAGCTAGTGTCCTTACTAATGCTGGATTCTTTGGCGGCGGCATGCCTCTCGTTCTCGGAAGCAGCGCAGCACCCGCTTTGGGATTGGCTGTCATTTTTAGGCAATGCCTGATGCTGAACCGTAGGAGCGTCTTCCCCTGGCAGCGGGTCCTCCTCCTGCTTGTCACTTTCAGCTCCTATCCAGAATGAGGCAAGCCATCCTCCCGCCATTTGACCCAGTGAGCTCGTCTTCTTGGCCAAGGGCCGAGGCTGCCTTTTGGTACTTGCCTGTCCATTGCCAGCAACAGCTAGTTTCCTTTCAGCAGCGGAAGTAGCTCTACCCTCCGGCTTCGTAGACGCCGTCGAGGCGACAGCGATGGAGCGAGCTGGCGATGCAGCGGCTGCAGCAGCGGAATCATGCTGAGGAGTGAAGATTCTTGTCTCTTTGTAACCGGCTTTACTGAGAAGGTCCTGCAAGGAGTCGAAACGCTCCATGGGCGGGGCGCTGGTCTTGCGACTAGGCGTCGTCGAGATGACTTCGGACTGCTCAGAAGCATCTTTGCCCAGCTTTGCTGGTAATGCTGATGGCGCGCGGAAGCCCAAAGGCGTCCCTTTGCCGCTCTTGCCCCCATCACTTGCTCCTGGCTGCATACTGTCCGTCATCTGATTGATGGACTGGCAGGACGCAAAGAGTACGCGTCAGCACCCAAAGATCTTCTCGGCGAACCGCTTACACTCACTCTCTCCCCGAGAATCCTGCTTGTCATCATCTTTGGAGCAAAGATGTGCCCAACCGGTAAGGATGTGTCGTATCGCTGTGGGATTCAGATCCGGAAGACAGCGTCTCGGAAGAAAGCAGGCAAACGAAATGGCAAAGGGCTGTCACCCTTGGCTGGCAGAAAGTGTCAGAGGCCAAAGTCATCTAGTCCAGTGTCGACACCATTGTGCCTTGCGGGGACGGGACCAATGGCTTGTCGGCGGAGAGGGGATCAAAGGGTGAAGGCGTGGCAAGGGCGATGGGTGATGGGTGATGGGTGATGGGACTCCTACAGAATGGTCTGGAGGTGGTCAACGAGTGAAACGTCGGCCTTTGCATGCAGGCCGGTGAGCTCGATCGTTGGACTGACATCAGCGACGTGTCCCTTGATCATACGCGGACATGCTTGACGTGCAGGTGGATGGTCGGTCAAGCAGCTCGAGGGCGGGATATCAGGGGGCTTGAGGAAATGTCGCGAAGCAAGGGTGCATGAGCTAGGCGGCAGCAAAAGAGGGAGTGTATCGTGAGAGGCAGAGTCCAAAGAGAGAAAAGGGGGGTGCGGTGGTTCGGGCGTGGGAAAGGAGGAGCGGGCCCGGCAGGCGAGGCACATCTGTTTCGTTGTTCCTTGCCTGCGCATCCAGTAGTCACGAGTACCGGTACCGGTAGTCTGATGAGCGTGATTCGACAGACGGTCCTACAGTGGTGAGTCAAGCCTCACTCACGACTGCGACTGCAGATGCAGATGCAGCACGAACGCATCAGCTAGCTCGCGGCGGAGAACTGCGCATGGAGGCACGCAGCAGTTGAGTCTGAATCACGAATTGTTGTATGTACTGTATGTTTGTATGTATGTATGTATGCAGCTTTGACACAGCGTGCGACCTCAACAATCAACGAATTGTGTTGAAGCAAGCATCCAACCATAAGTTTGGGCCGATGGGCGGCACATGGGCTCTAATCAATGGCATACATAATCCGTCGTGAGCCTTCACCGCCCGCCGCTAAGTCATGCGTCACTCCATGAAGGTGCGATGGGGCTAGAAAGCGATCTGGCCCGAATCTCTCCATCATCTGCCCATCTCTGCCTTCGCTGCGCTGATAGGCAACGGTAGCCTACAGTTGGAGATGCACAAGACGCAGACGCAGATGACAACCATGGATTCCAGATTGACGATTGCCCGAGGCTGTTGATCCTACAAATGAAATCTGCTTCAAATTTGTCCGTTCGTTGGGTAGTCACTCATGCGCATGTGTACAGTAGACTCACCAGACGCAAGACTACAACTCACCACTGGTACGTACGAGCGAGCGAGGAGGCTGCTAGTGGTCAGTGATTTTGAGTGTTGTCGTGCGGGTCGACGCGCTCCTCGAAGTCTTGATCTGAGTTTGAGTCTGCACGCGTACCGCGTGGTCGCACGTGATCTGCGAATCTCCAAATGCCACGTGACGCTGTATCACGAGAATCAAAATCCAGAGTCAAGAATCTTGTGGGAACCCACCACCCACCTTTGCGGCGCCGGCCCGCACCGTCGTCTGTCTGCATGCATTTGCGGTGCCGAGACTGCGAGACATCTGCCACTTACTGCAGATATCGGCAAGCGTGCTTCGATCCTTGATCACGCTTTACTCAGCACAAGCAGCTATATATAGGTAGCTTGTCACACATGGATGGCTGTGCATGATCACGTCACTAGAAGCTCAATTGGGACATGATGACTGGCAGAGACAACAAGATGAATTAGTTCGAGTAGCTGTATTCTTATCGTTAGTTAGCTGTAGCAGAAAAGAGAAGAGCGGAAGCAAGGGGGGGGGGGGGGGGG